ACAGAGTTCTGTTCATCCGCTCCGCCACTCCATTTTGTTGAGGAGTATAAGCCGTACTGAATTGTCTTTTGATGCCTTCATGCTTGCAGAATGCTAGGAATTCACCGTCTGTGTATTCTCCTCCATTATCTGACCTCAAGCACTTGATCTTCTTCTCAGATTCAAGCTCGACCCGCGCTTTGTAGGCTTTAAAGACTAAGAACACATCGGCCTTCTTCTTGATAGGATACACCCAACATCTCCTGGAGTAATCATCAATAAAGGACACAAAGTAATTTGCTCCTCCTAAGGATGTAAGTGGTGCTTGCCATACATCAGAATGAACCAGTTCCAGAATAGCCTTGCTTCTAGAACTCGATGTGTTGAACTTCAGTCGATGTTGCTTGCTTGTAACACAATGCTCGCAGAATGGAAGAGCTACCGAATTAAGTCCAGGAAGCAGTTTCTGATCGGAGAGAACCTTCAAGCCTCGTTCTGACATGTGGCCTAGCTTGCGATGCCACATCATGGTTTGTTCTTCTCCACGGCTGGTTGATGCCACACATGAATCAGCTTCCTGCAGAGTCTCTCCCTTGAGCATGTACAGATTTGCAGCTATCTTTTCTCCTTTTATCACCACAAGCGCCCCTCTAACAATCTTCATGACTCCATTTTCTATATGAGTCTTGCACCCGAGCTCATCTAATTGTCCCAAAGACAATAGATTCTTCTTCAAGCCCTTCACATGTCGCACATCTTGAATGGTGCGTATTATACCATCAAACATTTTGATTTTGATAGTACCAATACCACAAATCTCTAAGGCATGATCATTCCCCATGAATACAGATCCTCCTGAGATAGGTTCATATTTGTGAAACCAATCTCTCCGAGAGGTCATGTGCCAAGAGGCTGCTGAATCTAGAAGCCAGACATCAGCAAACTTCTTTCTGCCTTCATCAACAGTGGTTGCTCCACTGAATAGAATTTCACCATCCTCTGACGTGCTGACAACGCATCCTTGAGATGTTGATGGCTCTGAAGACTTTTTATCTCCACTCTTCTTGTTGTGCCAACACTCCGATTTGACGTGCCCTCTTTTGCCACAGTTGTAGCATTTGATATTCTTCTTACTTCGTGATTTCGATCTACCATGGGCATGACTCCCACTGGAGCCACGTTCTGTTGATCTTCCTCTCGTCACCGACAAGGCCTCCGCTTGCTGCGAACTTGTCTGCCTGTCTTCCTTGTTCTTGCGCCGATTTTCTTCCTCCAGAACAGCGGCTGCAACATCGTCGAAGACTAGATTGTCCGTGAGGACGTTGTTCGTCAGGTTGATGATGAGTTGATCATACGAGTCAGGTAGACTCTGAAGTAGAAGTTCTGCACGTTCATTCGCACCAACTGTATATCCCAACGTTGTGAGTTGGGAGAACAGTGTGTTTAGGGTGTTGATGTGGTCGGTCATCGATGTAGATTCCGCCATCCTCAGAGTGTAAAGTCTCCTTTTTAAGAAGATTTTATTGTGCATGGATTTCGCCTCATATAGCTTTGTTAGAGTATCCCAGATCTCCTTTGCTGTCTTCTTCTCCTCTATGCTTGACAGCACCCCGTCTGCTAATGCCAGATGGAGATTTGCAATAGCATTTTCGTCTATCTCGTTCCACTTTTTATCATCTGTGATGTCGTCCGGCCTTGCACCAATGGCCGCCAGGCAATTATCTTTTCTCAAGATAGCTTTTATCTTCAACTTCCACAGTGAGAAATTACTCCCGTCGAATTTCTCAATCTTGAACTTCGCCGCCATTGCTTCTACCATGAACAGTAACTTCTTACTATTTCACGTAAATAGTACTGTATTTATGAACAGTAACTGTATCCGTGAATAGTACCGTACTTACGAATAGTATCGTATTTGTGAACAGTACCGTACTCGTGAATAGTACCCGTCACCTCCAAAGGGTAAGTGATAACCTAACTTATTTTCTGATGTGGATGATCCACCTTTGGTGGCAGCCACAGAGCATACGATAAGTAGATATATACAAGTACCCTAAGTTGGCTCTGATACCACTTGTTGGGACAAACCCGGGGCCCAATAGAGCAGGGTCGCAGCAATAGTAGAGCAAAAGTAGAGATAAAATATTGGACACACAGATTTACGTGGTTCGGCACTTGATTGCCTACGTCCACGGGCAAGGATAGAAGAATTCACTATGAGGAGAAAACTCTGGAGTTACAATCTCTCTTTCTAAGAAGATACTCTCTCTATTTTTTCTCTCACACACTTCTATATAAGAAGAAGTTTCTGGGATGAGATTTCCTTAAGGATTTGGAGCCCTATTTATAGTTTTTTGAAAAACACTATGCACAATAAAATATTAATATTTTACTGTAGCAGTGAGCCCCACCATTTTGTTTTCTTTTTCCTTTTCAACATTGGCTGCTGGGTGGGTTGGTGCTTGGCTTCATTAGGCGCCTAACAGTTATCAAATTCTATACTCATCAAACAACCAAATATTGTTACTAAATAAACATAATTGTCATCTAAAACTAAATTCAAGTTAATCCATAATCTTAATTATCATCACTAAATTATTAACAGATTTAAACAACCTTTAAAAGATTAAAAAAACAAAGTGTTAAGCAAACATGAAATTACCATGCTCAAACAGATCATATTATAACCGCTAATAATTATATTACATGAAATTACCATAAAATAAGCAATAATCAACTATCAATAACCCCACGCAATAAAATCAGAGCTTGCCATAATATATATGTATGGAAATTGGTTATTCTTGTTTAAAAAAGTAACATGTGGTTAGAGAGTACAAAATCATACCAATAATAACCTAAAAATTAATTACAATCAAGTATTAAAAAGCCTTATTGTCAATTACCAACCCAAAAGAAACAATTTTACTATTTGTGAATTTAGTATTTATTTCACAAAAGGGAGCTGCATGTTCAAGAATTTACCCTTGATCAAGCTTTAAAGGCGTGCAAAGCATGAAAGTTTTGATTTTGTTCGTTGGATATTTTCAAGCGAATGAGAGTGAACACGAGAATGGGCATCTTTTTTTTCCCAAAGAAATGGGCATCTTTTTGAGCCAAGGCCCCCAAATCTCAGCCACTAAGTCACTCGTAGAGAGTCATGTTAATAAATTCGTTAATGTATATCAGAATGATCAATTTTGAAAAGATGGTACAAAATCATGTCCTATCCATTTCCTAGCTGAAGAATAGAAGCCAAGTTTAGAAGGAAAAAATTAAAGAGAGGAAGCTACTAATTTGAAAAAGGTAAAGGATTAGAATTTTAAACTAGTTAATGATGTTCTTGATACCTTGCATCTAAATGTCCGCTAAGTTTCACATGCGACAGTAACAAAAGTGAACTTTGTAAGGTGCCATCATTACCTTGACACCCACGCAAAGGCATATATATACATATCTTTTAGACTTTGATTTGTCACTAAAAAGTTACAAGCAATGAAGAAAAGCTACTAATTCTTGCATCTTTGTCATTGCCCTTAGTACGTAGTTTTGGATCTCAAATAAAGTAAATTCTAGACCTCAATCAAGCTATTGTCACTTTAGATTCATATGTTAACATCAAACTCTCCAATTGTACAGCTAAAGCAAAATCAATATTGTGATCCAAAGTTACATGATAAGGTATTACTTTGTTCGACTAAAATTCATTAGTTAGCCTCGATCCACCCTCTCTATTGGAGATATCAAAAGATGATCTTTCCTGATAATTGATTGGAATTAATGTCGTATATCACTAAACAATAATAGTGGTAAGATGGTACTTTGATTATTAGAAGCATATACAATGTAAAGGAAAAGTGTAGCGATGAACATGCTTTATAAGGAACAAGTGCTATGAGCTTGTGACGCTAATTAAGACCTCTTTGATCCAAAAGGTTAATCCATTAAGTCTTAATCATATCACATATTAGCGTTCATTTTTCCATCTTTTTTTTCGAGGTGGGACGAAAACTTATTTTCATAATTTGTCCCTTTAACTCAGCATGTTTTCTTTGGGACCTCACACCCATTAAGTCTTAATCCTAATCATTGGTGCATCGATGAGTACATGGAAGGAAAAAAATCTAGGTAAACTTGCAACAGACAAAAGGACTGGAGACGTCAGTGAGAAGAAAATTAAGGGAGTACTAGAAACTGATGATGGGACTAAATGCATTAGAGAAGCCAAGAAAATTTATGCATATGTAGCATCTTCCCCTTTTTATGATCATATGTCTCCATTTGATGAGTCTTGTTGATTACCTTCTTAACTTTGAGTAGAGATTGGCTCTATTCAAAGTTAGCTTCTTAGAAAACCGAAAGATTTCAAAGGATGCATAAGGAGAAAGAGATAAAGAAGATGATAGATGCACATGCATAAGAGAACTACTTGTCAACCAAGTCTCTGAAGAATGTTCTTAGACCGAAAAAGGTTGACCAAATTTTCATAATTCAATAATTCAACTTAAGGCAGCGAGCTGCAAGAATTACAGAAGGATATAGTTTGATTTTAGACATTTGATTATGAATAGTTTGGCCAGCCTTAATTAATTATTCACGTAAATTGTTGTATATATATATCTTAATTTCGATTCTTTGATCATGAGCAGTTTGTACAGTTAGGGTACTAGAGTGCAAATTTTTTTTCTTTTGAGGAAATTATATACTTAAGGTACTAGAGTGCAATTACATACTCAATTTTATATAGAACATGTAGAAGGTTCGCTTCGCTGAAGTGTTGTAATCCAAAAGCTAAAGGCAGCACTTTTATGGTCTTAGTTTCGTGAGTGCTAACACTGTCACTTACTCTATGTAGAAAATTAAGTGGAACTTGATCATTTGATTCTCTCACACTAACTAAAGATTATCATGCACATAATATAAAGGAAAGAATGAGAATCATACTAGAAAAGAAAAAGAAATGGTCTCATAAAATATGTATATATCTAGTGCGATAAATAAATAAAAGATGTAGCAAATAAAAAGTTCTACAACTACACATGAACCAAATTCTCTTGGTGCAAAAAAAGTTTGCCAGCAAATATGCCTACATATTGAGCCATTAAAGACCAAATCATTCAGTGCTTTCCAACTTCAACTCTACTCATGGCTCAAATTTTGCAGTTCTTCATTCTGTCCTCATATTTTATCTATGCAACTTCAAACAATATACCAGAGGTACTAATTACGATTATTTTTTTAGAAGTTCCATGACTAAATTCATTAACCAACATGAAACCTTTTGATCATTTTTTGTGTATTGATCAGTCTTATATCATCTACATGGGAAGTACTAGTAATGAACTAGATGGAAATTCAAAATCAACAGATGAAGCTCATTTGCAAATGCTGTCCTCTATCATTCCAAGGTATTTATTTCTATCTAAACATTATCATATTGATTTTCAGGTGAATAAAGCTTAATTTCTTACCATTATGATTGTTTCACAGTGAGGAGAAAGGAAGAGTATCCATAATACATAGCTATAGTCATGCATTCAAGGGGTTTTCAGCAATGCTCACTGAGAAAGAAGCAAATACATTATCTGGTAAATACCCATTAATTATAATTTAAGTTTTATTTACGCATTTCCTATATCTTTATGAACAATTTTGCACATAATTAAATAGGCCACGATGGAGTTGTAAGGGTATTTCCCGATAATATTCTTCAACTTCATACAACCCGGTCTTGGGATTTTTTGGAAGCTGAATCAGGCCTTGGTTCAGGGAGAACACACCGAAAAGCTTCAAATGATGTTATAATTGGAATTATCGATACAGGTAATTATTTATAGCAATATTACATATATCTAATCTCAATTGTTTATCCAAAATAATAATAATAATAATAATAATAATAAAACTCTGAATTGTTTATATTAATCTTGTATTTAATTTTCTTGTTTCTAGGGATTTGGCCAGAATCAAAGAGTTTCGATGATACTGGGATGAGTGCAATCCCATCAAGATGGAAAGGAATATGTATGGAAGGTTCTGATTTTAAAAAGTCTGATTGTAATAGGTAAATTTTATTAATGAACCACTGACACATACATTTAGTCCCTTGTGAAAGTACCACCTATTAAAAACTACAGTTTTCATTTTGATTAAAGTGTAAAATTAAATTACTAAATCTGTCACATAAGTTTATATAGTTATCTTGTTTTTCATATTCAACATTGAAAAGAAAAGAAAATGTGGAATTGTATTTCATTAGTACATAATTTCCACTTACAGGGTCCGCAACCAACACTGTTTCATTGATTTTTTTGATTTCCACAATGTATAGGATTCCTGCACATTATCAAAGTGAAGCAATGACACAAAAATGTAGCTATTTTTTCAATAATACTTCAGCAAACATTTAACCATAATGTTAGATGAGCTGACAGAAACTCTACACAAGAATGGGACATACTTTCCATGGAGCTCATTCATTCTCATATTTCCTTTCCAGAATAATACTTCATAGAGTTCATTGCGGATAGAACTCTTTCTGTCACCCAATTGCAGATAGACCCCACGAGTGAAATATTGTTGGCTCTGTTACCCTCACAAGGTCTACTTGTCAAAGAATAGATTCCTCTTTCTCTGAGGGTAAACAAGTAATTAAAAAAAATTCACTCAGGGGGTTTATCTACAACTAACCCTACTTTGTATTCATTCAACTTCAATAAGTTCATATCTATGACAGGAAGCTAATTGGTGCAAGATACTACAAAAACCTGGCAGATTCAGTGCATACTTCTTCCCTAGGATCACCGAGGGACTCAGTAGGCCACGGGACCCACACATCATCCACCGCCGCCGGCTCCATAGTCGCAAACGCTAGCTACTATGGCCTAGCTCAAGGAATGGCCAAAGGAGGTTCGCCCTCAAGTAGGCTCGCAATGTACAAAGCCTGCTCAATGGGAGGATGTTCGAGCTCAGCAGTACTAAAGGCTATCGATGATGCTGTAAATGATGGTGTTGATATTATATCGATATCGATAGGGATGAGCTCTATATTTCAGTCTGATTTCCTAAGTGATCCCATTGCAATTGGTGCATTTCATGCTAATGAGAGGGGGGTGTTGGTGATTTGTTCAGGGGGTAATGATGGTCCAGATCCTTATACAGTTGTTAACGCAGCTCCTTGGATATTGACTGTTGGTGCTTCGAGCATTGATCGAACTTTCCAGTCGAGCATTGTCTTGGGAAATGGAAAAATTTTGAAGGTAATAAAGAAAAATACATGAAATTTTATTGATTATGCTATTTCTGACATGATAAAAAATCTACTAAATATAAAGAATTTGTAGGAGAAACTACTAAAATGTGGATACAGTAATATGTCAAGATCAGTAAAATCAAGTACTAGATGAACATCTATTAATTGCTAACCAACAAAAATTGAAGAATGAGTATCTGAACACTATATTCAAGCTTTATTGGCAATAATCAATAAGTATTTTGTAACTAATCTGATTGACTGTATGAAAAAATTTTAGATTCATTTGAAGAACTACCACTAGAAATACCTTTTACTGATTTCATATGTAGAAATCATCAAAAGCAAGTACTAATTGAACATCTGTTCATTGCTAACAAAGAGCAAATAAGTTTCAGTTCCATTAGAAAAAAATCTGAATAAAATATCCAAGCTTTAGATTTCATTAGGGAATCAATAAGTACGCCTGTTAGGTAAAAAATCACAAGCACTTGGGTTATGTGATTATGCCTGTTAGCTTACTATACATCTCACTTCTCAGGGGGTTGCGATAAATTTCTCAAATCTCACTCATTCACAATTTTACCCTCTAATATTTGGTCGAGATGGGGCAGCAGCATCGACCCCAGTTTCAGAAGCAAGGTACGTACATCAGAACTTTATACGTGTCATAATTTATATTTTTAAGTTGATATTTCAAAAAAAAATCTGATACAAATCTATTCACAGTATCAGAAGCAAGGTATATCAAAACTTTACAATTGTCATAATTTATATTTTAAGTTGACACTTAAAAAAATCTCATATATATTTATCCACAGTAACTGTTATCCTGGATCACTGGACCTCGAAAAAACTACTGGGAAAATAGTAGTTTGTGTTGATACTGATCCAAGTGTATCAAGGAGAATAAAGAAAATGGTAGCTGAAGGCTCACAAGCCAAAGGTCTAATTCTTGTTGACGAGTCTGAAAGAGGAGTTCCGTTTGATTCTGGTAGCTTCCCCTTCTCTGAAGTTGGAAACAGTGCTGGAGCTCAAATTCTTGACTACCTGAATTCAACAAGGTAAGTTAAGCAGTGATATATTAATCGATTATTTAATTCGAGAAACTTTATTAAGTTCTATAAAAATTACCAGCAAACCAACGGCTATTATTCTTGCGACTGAGGACCTGAAGGAGTACAAACCTGCACCTGTAGTTGCCTATTTCTCTGCCCGAGGTCCTGGAGGACTTACCGAAGGCATTCTCAAGGTACAAAGTTCCATGATACCTTAGTGCATCCAGATTGAATGAATGATATCGCTAGCGACAATAACGAACCATTTTATCCCAAAATTTTGGGGTTAGCTAGATAAACCATATTATTATGTTTAATTTCATTGAGGGCACCATTAAGTTAATTTCTGTCACATCAAGTTCTCTTCTGCGTTCCTCCAGTTCTCCTTATTTCATGAATTATAATCTTATCATTTCTCCAAATTATATATGATCACATCATTTTAGTTGATTCTCTCTCATTTTATCCTCAATTGGAACAACATCGTAACTTTCTATAACAGCACTAATTTCTTATCGTATCTCCCAAGTGTACTGCACGTAATCTAACATTACTTTTGTGACACTCCGGTGTTAAAACAGCCGGATATCATGGCCCCAGGAGTAGGAATCCTAGCAGCTGCAATGCCAGTTGCTGATCCTGGAACAGACTTACCTGCAGGGAAAAAGATTTCCAACTTTGCAATAAAGTCAGGGACTTCGATGGCCTGCCCTCATGTCGCTGGTGCTGCTGCATTCATTCGATCAGCTCATCCAAGATGGAGTCCTTCAATGATCAGATCAGCCCTCATGACGACAGGCAAATGCTTATCAATCTCACATATTTTCATCAAACTTTAGGCTTCCAGAAACTTAAACCTGTCACATTTTGCAGCAACTGCAACAAACAACCTCGGCAAGCCTATAACAACTAATTCGGGAGGCAATGCTAACTACCATGACATGGGCTCAGGAGAAATGAGCCCATTAAGGGCCCTAAGCCCAGGCCTGGTATTCGAAACGACGACACAAGACTACTTACAGTTTCTGTGCTACTATGGGTACAAGGATCAAGTTATCAGGAAACTGTTAGGGACCAATTTCAGCTGTTCAGGTAAAGCATCAGCCAATCTCATCTCAAACATCAACTACCCTTCAATCTCCGTCGCACGCCTTGGTGGAAATCGGGGTGCTCAGACGACAGTATCGAGGACCGTGATCAATGTTGGACCATCGAATTCGACGTACACTGCAACAGTGGATGCGCCTGCAGGGTTTTTGGTTTCAGTGTTGCCTAATAAGTTGGTGTTTGCTAAGAGAGGAGTGAAGGCTAGTTACAAGGTGAAGTTTGATGTGAGAAATGCAAACAAAGGGTACGGATTTGGATCAGTGAATTGGTCTGATGGTGCACATTTGGTTAGGACTGTGTTTGCAGTTAATGTAGCGTGATTTTTGTAAGTTTTTGGTCGGTTTTGATTTTAGTTTGAGGTGGATGGTGTGTAGGGTTTCTTTTTCTTGTTTTGAGATTGAAAGTTTAGTTTTGTCTGGAATCGGTGTAACAGTTTTTTGTTGTTTTTGTTTTCAGATGCGGTTAGTGATCAACGAAATGTCATATTAACAAAACACAAACACCAAAGTTTTACGTGGTTCGGCAATTGCCTACGTCCACGGGGCAAGAAGGGGGGGTGGGTTTTCACTAATAGAGAAGGAGAGTACAAATTGAGATTACAAATCGCTCAATCGAACCAACTAATCTCACCAACAAATCTCTCAATCTCTCAACCAATAACCCTAACAAATAGCTCAGAAAGATCTCTCTTTTCTGTGCTCCAAAACCCCAGATTTTCTCCTACAAAACCCTCAAATCGTATTGGTATTTATACCAAAACAGAAACCCAAACAGACTGCAAATAGGAACTCTAACTTTCCAAAAAACCCGTCATAAGTCGACTTAACAGTCTGCATAAGTCGACTTGGCAGAGCGAAAAACAACAACTGGAGAACAGAACGTAAGTCGACTTATCAGACCTGATAAGTCGACTTGGCAGAGCAAAAAACCAACAATCCAGAGCAGAACGTAAGTCGACTTAACAGTCTGTATAAGTCGACTTACCATAAGTCGACTTATGCCTGTGTATGAGTCGACTTATGACACAGAATCTGCAAAAACCTGAATTTTCTAAATTTCTCCACAATTCTCCACCTCGGCGAAGTTTTCCCAAAACTGAGCCGACACCAACCAAACAAATGCCTCACATAATGAGACTCAAACGGGAGTGCGAACACTAACTCCAAATGTCGATGTCGCTCACCAAATCGGCTGCATCAAAACTGACTGCCTACGTATCCTCTTGCCCAAGGAATCAAGCCTTCACGTAGTTCATCCAACGGCCTCCAAAGGCCCTCAAACAAATAGAAAAGTCTGCAACTCTTCCCCAGTATCGCCGACGGATCTGCAACTGATAGCGGCCCCAAACTGATACAAATCAAACACCTCCATTTGAGGTGAACCAATGGCCATGTCCAAACTGCGCCTATCAGCTGCACTCAAATCAATCAACACGTCATCTGCATCCAAAACCAAATGATCTTCACGCTGTGTCACCTCAGCTGAAGTCCCAAATAATACAGAATGACCTGGAGTATGTGGAGTATCACTCTCCACCTGCTGCGATATCCAAATGACCTGATCAACACTCTCCACCTGCCGAGAGTCAAAAGTGACATACCTGCTCAGAACAAAATCAGAAGCTCCCAAACGATAATCAACTGAGCCTCCGAACCCCAAACGCGCAATCGGATCCAATCTCACATCCACGATGTGACCAAATGCTGGGTATCCAAATATCCGACGCAACCCAAAATCTGAAGCAGCTCCCCCAGATCCAATAACTCCTAATGCAGCAGTCGGCGACCTATACATAAGATGACCCAAATATGTCGAAGCCCGCACACCAATGCCAATGCTCGACATCAAACGCCGATCCTCCTCCAGAAAGGAACGACCCATCGAAACTGTCATCTCATCTCGTCGCCCCAAAGTCTCCACACCAATGAAGTGTCTCCTACTGCCGTGAGCTCGGCACAAATACAAGAAAGGACCCCTACCAAAGCTGAAACAATGAGTTACCTTTCTGCCAATACACTTCTTCCAACTGTTGTTGACTTCTAGGACTTTACACCAACGGGAACTGGTCGCGACCCAATAATGCCTAGAACAATCACCAACTGTGGAAACCAAGATACGATTACCTCCCAATGATGCCTCCTTGGAAGGCCCCCAAATGCCTGACTGAACACCTCCAAAAAGACCCCTCGCTCGATGGATAGAAGTGCCAAACTCCACCACGGTCTCGCTCATCCTAATGTGCTCACAGGACTTCAATCTGCAGGTCATAGCACTCCTCAACAACCAATGCACGGTATTACCAATCATATACCCCAGCACCAAACAATGCCACAGTCTAGCCGAATCTGATAAAGTCGTCATTTCCCTATCAATCACCGTGCTTCCGTGCAAATAATACAAATTTCTCCTTCTGACGCCCTTCATCACAATCATGGACCCAAACGTAACCTTCAAGCGTGCATCCGCCAAGGTCACCCTATAGCCTGCTGCCTCCAAAGCTCCAAGTGAAATGATGTTCTTCTTCAACTGAGGAACGAACCTCACTCCAACCAACTCCCGAATAACCGTCACTCATCCTGATCCGAACAGTACCGATACCACCAATAGAGCATTTGTGATCATTCCCCATGAGCACGAAATCCCCTCTTTCCAACTCCTGAAAGCTGGAGAACCAATCCCTCCTAGGGCAAATGTGGTATGTAGCACCCGAATCCAATATCCACTCTGTAGAGTAGGCAACACAAACTGACGGCAGTGCAGATAACGAGTAGCCCGAAGAATCCGAATCTGAATCGTTGCCACTAGCCTTGACAACATTCGCCTCTGAAGCTTGAATAGCTTTTCCCTTATTCTTCCCGGCTCGATCAACTAACTTTGGGCAATCGGCTTTCCAATGTCCATCTTCTTTGCAAAAGGCACACTGATTCTTACGAACTCCAAGATGTGCCCCTCTAGACTGCGACCTCCCACTACGGTTTGGACTCTTTGCTCTTGCGACCAACGCCCCCGCTACCGGCTCAATCGAAGTCTCCTTATTCTTCTTTCGAAGCTGATAATTCACAAGGGCAGCGGTGACCTCACTATACGAAAGAGATGTCTTCCCATTAATAAGAGTAAGAACGAATGTCTCATATTCCTCGTCGGGCAAGGAACTCAACAACAACAACACCTTGTCCTCATCTTCAATCACCACATCTACATTCGTCAAATCCGCAAGAAGCTTCGTGTAGTGGTTCATGTGATCACCAATGGAGGTTCCTTTCTTCAACTGGAAGCGGTAAAGCCTCCTCTTCAAATGCAAGCGATTCTCCACACTCTTGGTCAAATACTTGCTCTCAAGGATCTCCCAAATCTTCTTTGCAGAAGTCTCATTGATCACATCATACTTTAGATCTTGAGTGAGACAAGACCTAATCACACCACACGCCGTTCGATTCATCTTTTTCCAAACCTTCTCATCAATGTTGTCCGGTTTCCCGTCCAACTCCAACGTATCTTCCAAATTTTGCGCGTTGAGCGCATCCATGACTTCGCATCGCCAAAGTCCAAAATTGTTTGTGCCATTGAACTTTTCCACATCAATCTTCATTGAGTGGATATTCAAGCTTTGGACGGTCTTCACGCCGGAAGTACTGCCCACAACTCCTTCTTTCTCGGCCATAATCCTCAAGGCACCACCAAACCAATGCGGAAACAAACGAGAAATAGATCCAAACTGAAAAAGACGAGATTTTTACCAAAAAGATCCCACCTTTATCACCAAACGAAGCCCTAGATGAACTTCCAAAGCGATCTACTCCTCCAAATAGCCCAAGCGTAGCCCGAGCTCTGATACCACTTGTTGTGCACGGCGCGGAAGCCAAACAAACAACCAACTATGATGCTTTGAGAAACCAAACCAACAAACGCCGAGAGAAAGACCAAACAAAACACAAACACCAAAGTTTTACGTGGTTCGGCAATTGCCTACGTCCACGGGGCAAGAAGGGGGGGTGGGTTTTCACTAATAGAGAAGGAGAGTACAAATTGAGATTACAAATCGCTCAATCGAACCAACTAATCTCACCAACAAATCTCTCAATCTCTCAACCAATAACCCTAACAAATAGCTCAGAAAGATCTCTCTTTTCTGTGCTCCAAAACCCCAGATTTTCTCCTACAAAACCCTCAAATCGTATTGGTATTTATACCAAAACAGAAACCCAAACAGACTGCAAATAGGAACTCTAACTTTCCAAAAAACCCGTCATAAGTCGACTTAACAGTCTGCATAAGTCGACTTGGCAGAGCGAAAAACAACAACTGGAGAACAGAACGTAAGTCGACTTATCAGACCTGATAAGTCGACTTGGCAGAGCAAAAAACCAACAATCCAGAGCAGAACGTAAGTCGACTTAACAGTCTGTATAAGTCGACTTACCATAAGTCGACTTATGCCTGTGCATGAGTCGACTTATGACACAGAATCTGCAAAAACCTGAATTTTCCAAATTTCTCTACAGTCTCTTATAAAATGTAGTCGGTCAGAAAAAATTTGAATGAATTAGCTTATGATTCTGTCCCTTCCTCTATGAATTCATGGTAGAATTAGTTAAAAAAGAAGATTTACAACACTAAATAAAACCGATAAACTAATAATAAAAAACATAATAGACAAATACTGACCGATCGTTGTCTTTGTGATTTAAAACTTGACAATGTAATGTAAAATTATCTCAATATCTTAAATTAGCAAGGATTCAGGTAATGCATAATTATCAGGTAACATGGAGAGCAGAAAAAAAAAATGTAAATGATCTCCTTGAATTTTTTTGAAAGGAGTGTGTAAAAGTGTAAAAAGTGACAAATGAGGAACGAGCATATAATAAACAAATTATTTAAACAAGATGCACCTTCAATTAAAGAAGTTGCAAGAAACTTCATAAACCAAGAAAACAACTTTTTTCAATGCAACAAAAAATCAGGTCTAAATAAACAAAAGTTTTTGAATTTACATGATTAATTAATTTGTGTGACCCTCAGATCGGACTATTATCATCCCTTATGAGAAGGTCAATTACATACAAAGCAAACCAGCAAAAACAAGCAACTTTGCTAAATTAAAATTGGGAGAGAGAGAAAACAAATGTCTTCGGCTATGAATCCATCTCTCCCAATCCATATCTATGTTTTAAGTTCTCAGAGCAGTCATTATATAATAGATCGCATATTTACAGCAAACTTGAGGCTCTTTTCACAACAATAACCTCTGAATTAATACATATATGTAGTTCATGGAAAACCCATCAGTGGACTCTAAGCTGATGAAGAAGTGAAGAACATAAGCTGAGGAAGAGAAACTGTGATCCTTCAACCCTCTGAACGTCGAGGAGATACTTTTCATCGAAGTTCTTATAAAGCTGTGACGAAAACATTAAGAAGACATCACTTTAAAACATTGGTTGCATATTGATAGGCATCACTTTAAAACATTGGTTGCACATTGATATGAATCACATCGCAGAAAAACAAAGAGAAACATCTATTTATGATACTAATTCCAGTGACAATCATGCGGATTGATAATTATCTGACAAGCACCAAAGCATGTTTGTAGGCTTAGCATAATATCTGTAGCCATGATGTCAGAGATTTCTCAAATTTGACCCGTGCTCGGTAAACATAGGTGCATGTAGGTTGGGTAACAATACATCATGTAACTTAGTTACACACCAATCAAAGTACACATTTGTCCATCAATATTGTTAATCCAAAATATCCATTGTTATTCACGGATCATAAAACCCAAGTGAATGAAAATTTAACAGTTTGCAATTTTATATTATGTAATTCAAGCAACTCCAAAAAACCCAACTCGTTAGTTACAGACTGCTCATCTTTAGATCATGAGATGCACATGCTAGAAATATTAAATCTACGTGATTTTTTTCCCCCATTTATCTTCATGAAGTTTAGAATGTATACATCACTATAACAGATTAAGTTAGGACACCCTGTGTGTTATAACCTTACCCTGTAAGTGTGTGCATGTGTGTGGGTGTGGGTGTGCGTAGAGAGGGATACCTGAATCTCAAATTTGACTGTATTAAATTGATCTGCAGGAACATCATTTTTCTCGACAATGACAAAGTCATTGTTTAATGTATGATCAAAATACAGAGGGTTACTAGCACATCTTTCAGAATTGCTCTGTAAACCAGGTTTCCATTTGCATCTCATGTTGTAATTTCCAATGTTTTTCCAGCACACACTCAATACATGAAGTGCCCCAACGACCTCTTTCATTATATCACAAGGACGAGCATTTGCCTGCCAAATCAATGGCCCTTCAATGTCTTAGAATATACACCAAGGGCAGATAAATATGAGCTTGATAGAAGCAAAAGACTACTATTACCTGAAGGCCAAGAGTCCATTTACTTCCATTAGGGAAATTTGGCCTGCAACTAGTACCCTGATCATCAACAGCTCTCGGTACAGAATGTGAAAATGCTGAAGTTGCAGTAGCAAACGGCTGTGTATTAGAGAAACTAACATCCTAGAGAGAAACATTTAAAGATTAGAATGATAGGAAGTAATATTTCTTGGCACTAAATGACTATAATCAATGAGAAAACAAAGCAAAAGATTGAGATTGCACCATAGCTTCCTGAAACTCAAGTCCGGCATACCCATTAGAAGTGTGGAGTCTATAGCCCAGAAGCAAGTAATAAGAAACAGTTGCCTGTTTAAATTCTCGTATATTTAGTAAAAAATGGATAAAGGAAGCAAATAAGGAAAAATAACAAAAACAAAATTACTAAACAGAAGTACTTTTATGGGATACCTCATCTTGGATTCTATTGATAAGGGATCCAACCAACTGGTTCCGCTCAAAACCAAGTCTAACCACCTCTAGAAGAATTTCCTCATTAATCTACTCAAAAAGAATAGTAGTGAAAAAAAGCAGGGTCAAATAGTAGGTGAGACAAAAATACCAAAGGATAAACAATGCTAATTCACAAAATAAACAAAACAAATGAGACCCGAAGATCGCAAGGGTCACCACATACAGCACATACAATTATCTATATTTACCTTCAGAAGCAAAGGGCGAAAGTACACGAGAAAGAAAAAGCGAATAAAAATTATCATGTCCCAACTTAACATTCAGATCTTTAAACACAAATCTTAATCCACATTAAGTTTCTGCTCAATTAAGAGGTATGTTTTTGGGGTCGACAACACAAACAATTATCAGCATATCTGAATATGTTAACAAAATGCACTAAGTAAAAAAGTTATCATTATACTTGTTAAGGTACATGCCTTTTTCACTCCCTGCGTTGTGTCCGGCAGAGGCAAGGCCAAATAGCGAGGAAGCTGAACCTGGAACCACGGATGCTGACGTATCTCAGGAATGGTCGCTCGCTTCATAGGATCAACTACGAGCATTCTTGAAATCAGATCCCTTGCTCCCGGAGACAAATGACTGGGAAGCGTATACATCCCACTCTAACAAAAAAAAATGCAGGATGGCATGATTTTTTCCCCCTATTTGGATGATGAGCCGTTCTCAACAGTGAAAAGGTTCAGAATGCTAATTGTGTATCTCTAAGTTGCATACCTTTATTTTCTTAAATAAATTAGGAATGCTTGCATCATCAAAAGGAAGATTGCCACAAAGAAGAGCATAGAGGATAACACCACAGCTCCAGACATCAACCTCCGGACCAGCATAAAGTTTACCGGATATTACCTGTACGACAAATAACTTGTTAAGAGTATAAAATTATCACCCCCAGTCTTCATCACAACTTCGGACTTTTGGTGTATTGGGTTCAAATGCACTGGGTATGCATTCACATTTAAAGCAGATTTAGAAAAACTATTGTTGTGTAATATAACCAAAGTTTTGGCCCACATGAGGGCACACAATCTACAGAAGCAAGTGAGAGAGTATAAAGCCCTTACCCTTAACCCTCACCACACTTGAATAATTTTGTCACCTAAGAAACAAATGGAATATGCAACAAAACTTGTGTGTAGTAAAAAAATGCATACCTCTGGTGCAGCATAGTTTGGGCTTCCACAACTAGTCTTAAGAAAATGACCGTCCCTGATGACATTACTTAGACCAAAGTCTGCAATTTTGATGTTAAAGTTTGAATCTAGCAATAAATTCTCCGGCTTTAGATCCCGATGAACCACCTGGTTCCTGTGGCAATACTCGACTCCAGATATAATCTGTTTCCAACAGAAAACAAAAGATTTTAAATAGGTAAAAGAAGGTGGAAAATGTAAAAACTGAACACCTTTATTTGAAAATAATAATAATAATAATAACCATTTATACTTTCAATAAAAATAGGATTTTGCATTGTGTATGTGCTACCTGCCATGAACCAGTTATTCTACTGTGAAATGAAGAGATTAATGTAAGAATTGTATAATAGCACAAATGATAAGAAAAATAAATGTTCGTAAGTATAATTCTAGGCAAAGTAAACGCTCAAGTATATAATAATGCAAGTGCCTAAATATAAAAGCAACTAGGAACCAATTGAAACATCAACGAAGGGAAGTATGAATTTATCTTATTCAACCACGAGTTCCTTTTTTCATGATAATTGAGACATGGAAAGGTACCAAGATTTGCAATTCATAACAATAAGAAGAAAAATGTCAGCTTACCTGTTGAAAGAAGCGCCGAGCCTCATCATCAGATAATCTACCCTTCTCCACGATATAGTCAAATAATTCCCCGGAATTGATATACTCCATTACAAGATAGATATCTGAATGTGTTTCTATAACCTCATAAAGCCGAATAATATGAGGATGCATGAAAAGTTTCAGTATTTTGATCTCTCTACAAACTGCAATTAAAATGGGAGAGCTTGTGAATAATCATCAATAATACGAAGTTTTTCTTTGGAAAGAAAAATCATATACCTAAGAGAACTGTAAGAGGCACTTATTCTTACACTCAGTACTATTCATTACTCAAAAATTGTAGCGTAAAAAATTGCAACTGAAGACAGATCTTAAGAAGCACCAAAACAGCATAGTTAACACAGAACAAAGTTTTTCGCTGCAAACTGCAATTAAAATAGGAGAGCATGTCAACACTCATCAACTATACAGAGTTTTTCTTTGGAAATAAAAATCATAAACCTATGAAAAATGAAAGAGGCAATTATTCTTAGACTCAGGACTATCCATTACTCAAAAAATGAAGCGCTAAAAAGTGCAACCGAAGACAGATTTCAAGAAACGCATAACGGTATCGGTAACACAGGACAAGTAATTCAGAGATCTAATAAAATTTCTAAATACAAGCAATCAGACATACAAATGGTAAATGCAAAGCCAAGCTCCACCTAGACAAAATCCTAAAGGTTCCTGTCATATTGACGAAGAGATTTATTCCAGCAAAGAATAGTCAGGTTCTATTTGAGAAAGTGGCCATGATAGAAGACTTCCGCGAAGGAATTGTTCTTCCTTTGGAAGCACACACAAGCCAAATAGACCTTGAACCAAATTTTTCTTTGAACCAAATTTTTCTAAGAGAAATTCATATGCTTCATGATACAGGTTGCAGGTTCTAAGACAATAAATACTCACAAACAACTCAGTCACCCTTATTAGTACCTCATGATCTACCTGCCTGAACCAGTTATGATTTATTGTCCCCATTTGTGTTCTACAACTGCAATGCATATTAGCTTGTTTCACAAGAGGAGCTCCTCCGCGAGTTGTCGAAGACCATATTAATTGGATCTGCATCAAATTATCATTGGAGTGGATAGTCCATATGAGCATCCTACTTATCAGTACAGAATAGCATGGCGTTCTGTAGGCTAGGCTCCTGATTTGATCCTCTGTCAAAATATATTGTAAACAGAAAGGATTCCACCACATAACTGCTAGTCTCCTGATTTGCTCGAGTAGATTCCTCATTTAACTAAATCCATTCGCTAATGTTGATACTTTAATAATGTTAGGTAGTTTCATTTATCTCGAAAGTATTGTTTATTAGAGAGTTTAAATAACCTAAAGAACTCAAACTTCTATTCCCAATGAGTTGATAACATACCAGGAGACACAAAAACTTTTCCTGGGAATAAGAATTGCAACCAGACTAATCAAATTACCAAAGAATATACGTTGCATATTTCTGTATTATATAATATGATTCTAAGCTTGTAATGACAAAAGAAGATATATCATTTTATGAGATACCTTTTTCTTCCATTTCCAACTTTTCCATTTTGCGGCGATTGAGAATCTTGATGGCAACCCTATGCCCTGTCAATATATGTACAGCACTCTTGACCTTACTAAACGAACCAATTCCCAGTCTCCTCTCAAGCCTGTAACGTTGCAGAAGTACGCTAGCAACACGACTTCCTCTACCATGCCCCTCCATTATTTCTGTGATAAATAGTACAAACTTGGTTTCAGAATAAAGAAATGTTAATGGAACATGTGAACTTATTGAACTGAACTAAAAAATAACTTATCAGAGGCTGAAATCTAACATGACACTAGGATAACCAGGTAAAACATGCTCACAAAATGCTAAATCGCATCATGCTACAAATAGTATTGTGATACATGCTTTATATATTAAAGTAATGTCCTAGAAAAGTTGTAGGGTTAGGGTCTGAATATGTAGTTCTTGGTTTAGATTATTATTGATCCTCAATCCAATCTGCTCAATTTACAACCATCATCAAAATGTAGCTAATCGATTTAAGGTCGGGTTCAGGTTAGCCAGATCTAGACAATGACCTGTCCATTTGCAGGCCTACCCATATTCACCCAGATGCAGCATTGTTACTTCTTACTATCTTCAGCATTACCCTAACAGCATAAAATTAGAAATAGTACCAAGTCAATAACTAAGGAAGACAATTGATGCAGGTATTGTTGATCGAAAGATTTTAGGATCTACAAGAATATTTTTATTTAATAGTACCAAGTCACTTGGAGAAAACGCAGAGGGGGTGCGGACTGCTGTGAATAGAGGCCCCAAACATCCACGTGAACTCCTCCAGAACGACCCTTAGCACGGTGAATAGAGGTGCCAAATTTCACATTGGTCTTCTTGCTCACATCAACATGTTCACTGGACTTTAAACTGCAGATCTTCGCACCCTCTTTCAATCTATGCGAGAAATCAATACTGGAATGGCCAAGCCCCAAATGTCGCAGTCTAGTCGAATCAATACTGGACGTAGGTAGTCTTTATGATGCAGCCGATTTGATGGGTTGGATTTTGATGGGGTGAGATCGATTTGGTGAGTTGATACCAACATTTGGAGAGTGTTCGCATTCTCATTTGGGTTCTCGACTTGTTGTGGATTGAGTCCGTTGTCGTGAATCGTTTCACTTCGTACTGGACGTAACAAATGAGACATTTGTTTGGTTGGTGTCGGCTCAGTTTTGAAAAAACTTCGTCGAGGTGGAGAATTATGAACGGTGAAGTCATGTGGGGACCACACCAACAAATGTGAGCACAAGATCCAGCGGATCTTTTGTGAGGCCCAAGCTTTGAAAACCGCATCCAGGCTAAGCACAAGATTCCAAGGTATAAATAGCTATTCCTCTCTAGGGTTTTGTGTGTGCAAGGAGGTTTGGCTGCAGGAAAAAGTGCAAGGCAAGGAACAAAGTTGGCTTCTTCTTTTCTTCATTGGCAGCGAGCAAGTACGAAAAGCAGGAGCAAAGGACGGCTGGCAAAGTGCAATGTTCTTTGGAGAAAACGCAGAGGGGGTGCGGACTGCTGTGTAAAGGCAGGGGGCGTGCTTAGCCTGGATGCGGTTTTCAAAGCTTGGGCCTCACAAAAGATCCGCTGGATCTTGTGCTCACATTTGTGGGTGTGGTCCCCACATGATTTCACCGTTCACATAGAATGTATTGTTTCTCTTCAAATCGTGAAGTAAAGCCAACACAAGTGTTTCAAATCCAGCTAGATGTGGACCTTCAATCAAAACTTAAGTTCAATCCAAAACCGAAGTTTGAGCTTGAGTCAGAAGAAAAAACAGAGTAAGATAAAAAAAATTGATCCAATGCCCGAGCTTGAACTCAAACGAGAAGCGGAACCAAAGAAGAAAATTGACTTAGAGCTCAAGCCTAAACTCGAACCTAAAGGAGAGTAAGAACTTGAACTCAAATTAGAAATTGAGTCAAATATTGATCCATGAGCTCGAATTAAGTCTAGAGCCTAAAATCTAGTCAAGCCTAGAAGCAGAATGTAAGATTGATATGCAATGCAGACTCCGGGCTTAGGCTAATCTGGTTGTTGACTTCATTATCTCAGAACCCCACAACCAACTTAATATCAGGTTTTACAACTCATCTTGAAGATCCTGTGATCCACAACGATTTGATTTGTAATAGTATTTAGGATTTACTAGAATATTTTTTATTGTAATAACATTTAATGTAATCTCCATTTTTAGGCAAGATTTTCTTAGAATTTGATTTGTGATTTTTAGGATCTTGGAGGTTTTATTTTGTGTGAGGTTTTATCTTTATTTACCTTTTATTAGGATTTGATGGGGTTTGATTTGATTTCTAGATTTAATTTTCTCCATAAATAAGTTAAATACTCTAAAAGGCATAGACTGTTATGAATAAAAAAATCTTGAGTTATGAGAATTCTCTCTTGACCATACAAGGTGTTCTTTAGCATGTGATTTGCCACTTTGGGGTATGAAGCCCTTGGTTGTGAGGCCCTTAGGTGTAAAGCCTAGTTATTATGAACTCCTTTCAACTATCCTTCTTAATCAATCTCTTCAAAAACTTGTCATTAAAAAAGCCAAAAGAAAAAAAAATACTAACACCCCTAAATTGGTGCACTGTTCACGGGCAAGCGATAATACCTATACTGTTCATAGTGGAACAGTAACAGGTGATCACATTAATAGTTGGTCCAAAAAAAGTAAACATCAAACAACAGAGGAGAACTGTAAACGCACAAAAAAATTATGTATCAACAAGTCCTATAAATGAAACTTATTGTGAGGAAGGTGATCACATTAATAGTTGGTCCAAAAAAAGTAAACATCAAACAACAGAGAAGAACTGTAAACACACAAAAAAATTATGTATCAACAAGTCCTATAAATGAAACTTATTGTGAGGATCATAATACCTCATAAAAATCAAAACCAATGTGAGAGATAGTACCTCATATAAATCAAAATCAATGTGAGAGATAGTATCTCATATAAATGAAAATCAAGTTGAGGATGACAACACCTCATGTAAACTTGAGAGTATGTGAACCCTCTATTAATCTAACACAAAAAAACGCATGCTTCATCCCTTCACAATCAAATTCTCAAACTAGAGGGTGCATATCAACTTCAATACATTGGTGGTGTTATGTGATCATAAGCCTTAGCAATGAAAAATCTAACTCAATGATACTCGTCCTCGTACAAACCTAAATTTAGCTTGAAGGTATATGGGCTTCACATAACATTTATTTTAAGAAAGACATAAGATAAGCAGATAGATACATGAAAAGTGAAAAACAAAGAAAATGTTTGTTATGATAAACGAACGTAACAATCTTGATAAGGAAGTTTCGATAAGAAAGTTATCATAACTCCCCCCAATCATTTTTCAACACTTGGCAATAACTTCCCCTGAGCTTCCCTATAAATAGACATTTCTTTCGTCAAATAAAAAAAGAGGATAACAAAAGAACGACAAAAAAGATAGAGAAAAGGCGAAGAAATTGAAAAGAAAGAGAGACTTGAGTTTGAAACAACGAAAAGATCCTCTGTATTTTTCATATTGAAAGGGAGGAGGGCTCCAGAACATTGTCTGGAGACCCAAGATCTCATCTTCTTTCTCTTCAATTTTGTAATACATTAGAAAGATAATAAGATCAATATCTTTCTGCATTTAATTTCTAATGTCTATTTAATTCTTTGCTTTCTATTAATCAGGGGTTTCTTTAAATAAGAGTAATTAACAGAAAGAAATAAATTTCTGAAAGCATGCACCTCATAATTTTTTTTTACAAACAAAGTGATTCTAATATGTATCTAAGGAGTAAATATTTAGGAATTGTTCTACTCTTCTTGAGATTGGTGATACGGCTTGGTCAAGAAGAGATTAGCCTACTCAAATATTATTACTCCTCCGATGGATACTAACAGCACTTTGAATTTTTTTTACAAAATATACACGTCGGGCATTGCAACGTTTACAAATTTTTTGGCGATCACAGTAGGAGCATGATTTCCCCTCCGTCTTTTAGAAAGTAAATATTAGATGACATCTTGTGCATAAAGCACTAAAAAAAATTCTATGCACAAAACACTAAAACATTATTTCTGCATTTATTGTTCGCAGGTAAAATAACAAATCATGTGAACAACTCAAATGTTAATGGCACAACTCAAAAATTCATTTCTGTGCAAATTGGTGCATTGTGGGTACTGGTTCCCGTGGAGATGGCTACAGCGGAGAACATTCCGCGATCAACGCCATGCGCTGTCCCGCAACCTGAATATCCTATTCACCCAATGCATGTTGAAGTGGAAGATGATGGCTTTACTCCTGTAGTGACTAAGGCTATGAAGAAAAGGATGAGGAAATCGTCCTCAGTCCAAGTTCATATTCCTAATACTCAAAAGCTTAATGCAAACATGAGGAGTGCTTCCGATATTATTATCCGTGAGGATCCTAAAGATACCCTTAACAATAAGGAGAAACTATCCATTTTTCATGTTAGAAAGGGTAAGGGAGTAATGGAAGAGAGCATAGATTCATCTTCAGTTGAAATGAGGCACTATGTTGCTCAAAGGGGTTCCCTCATATTGGATGCTCTCGAGATATGGAGGCATTTAGAACAAATTCTTATGATAGAGAATTCTCTCCTCTTCAATTGCCCAACCCTCAACAACCAAAAAAGCCCTATCAAGAAGGAAAGTTTTTTTAAAAACACCAAGTAGGGTAGTGTCTGTTCCAGTGCAACAAGTTCAGGTTAATGACCAAGACGTCAAAGCAATTGTCTACAAACCCCTCGCATGTTCGCCTAGGCAGGCCTAGAGTGAGGTCTCGTCAAAATGATGTTCCACGTTCTTGGCACTATCAATTCTATTCGGGTAAACCGATAAGTTATGAATCTAAATATTAATCAACCCTATCTTCTCAGAGCCATATTTCTGAGTCAAACGAAAATCACTGGGAATGAAGACAATCTCCTCGGTATCATACTGCGGAACCAACTCATTATAAGACTAGAGGCCGATACTTCTTCGGACATCATTTGCAACGTGTCACGCTTCAAAGAAATGAAAGGCAAGACACTCATGTTTATAAATATTATGAAAGCACCCACCATCAGCATCAGTATTATCAACAACCAACTCATCACTATGAACCAGTATTGATTGCTTTTACAAGATAGGGCAGGCCATGATCTTTCCTCTGAAGATCGAAGGCGAGTTTGTTGGTTATGTGAGCACTTATGTGAAATCACCACGGTGTCTGATTTGAATAATTCTTCTCCCAATCATGTCATGAATGTCATGCTTGTTAGTGACTGATGATGCAGATATGTACTTTAAAGGAGGCGTACTATTGTACTGAATCATCCTGTGACAAGAAGTCAGTCTAGGTTACGGTCTATATCTCTTGAAGTTGAAAATAATAATAATGAATCATCCACTTCTTATTCTTGATCTCACTCTAATGATACCACTAATAGTGTAGAAAAAGAATATGAACATAATATATTAGGCGTAGAACAAGTTTTGATAACTGACGAAATGTCCCTTGATGATAAATTAATACAACTTCAAAGAGGGATCCAACAGAAAGAAGAAATTACTCAACTTAGGGCACAAACCTCAATTTAGGGCACAAACCTTTACAAGTCCTTCCACTTCAACAAATAATGCTTCAGATGTTCAGCATCACTCAACTACAGTTTCACTTGATACAGTACAAAAACTCATCAATAAAGGGGTCAGGACACAATTAATGCAAAATCAGTATGCAATGAGACCAGACTATACAAAGCCTTATCTTGCTAAAATTGACATGATTCCCTTCATTGCAAATTATCGACAACCTCAATTAATTCAATGGAAATGGTTCGCCACATAAGCACATCGCTCACTTTATGGCAGCATGCCAAGATATCGCTCATAATGAAGCTCTCCTATTAAGATAGTTTGTTCAAACACTTTCAGGTCCTACATTCACTTCGTATAGCAAGCTTCGGCCTGGATCAATAGGAAATTAGGAGCAGATGCAAAAAGCCTTCTTACAACGCTTCTATAATACTCAAAGGATTATGGGCATCACTGAATTAACTCGGACAGAGCAAGCCCATAATGAGAGGGCAACTGATTTTATTAACAGATGAAGAAACTTGAGTCTCCATTGTCCTCAACCAATCACAGAACCAGGATGTGCATGAACAATCTTCGACAACAATCTTCGACCAGAAATAACAGTTCATCTTCAAGGGGTACGGCCTATGAAGAGTTTGCATCTAAGTCAACTGATATAGAAAATTATCTCAATCAGTTGAATTGTCGCTCAGACAAAGGGAACCATAAATTTTTTGAACATGGGCTAGACAAAGGAAAGAGAGATCGCACCCGTGATAAGAATAAGCATGTGATGGAGACATCTGTGACAACATAATATACAAAAGTACGACCAAATGAGGCTAATGTCTAGTCAAAGAATTTAAAGTTTAATGGTGCTGGAAAGCTAAGAAGTCTAAAAGATAGACTTGAAAAGGAGTACTCCTTTCCCAAAGAAGTGTTGAGGATTTCTTTAAGGGATTAACCAAGATGAAGCTTGTACAATTGCCTGAACCTCGCCAAGTAAATGAAAATAATAAGAGGCACGACGATAGATGATATTGTAAGTATCATCACATGCCAGGGCACACTTTAGAAGAATATTTTGTCTTTAAAGATAAAGTTTAAGAAATGATTGATGATGGAAGCATTGATCCTACATTGCTTAAAAATTTTAAGAAAGGAGGACAATCCGCCAATATGATGTCTATTAGTCAAGTAGATAAAAAAGTTTAGCCTAAGTGCATAGACATTTTAACATTATCATCCTCTGTAGTACCTTATGTACCACCATCATATCGCCCTATGGAGGAATCATCATCACAAATGACTCCCTCAAAGGTGCCACATCATGTAATACATATGAAAGAATTATTGTCCCCTTCAACTCCACCGACTATAATAGAGAGGAAAAGTAAAACTCCAACGTCATTTCCTATCCTCACATGTTCAGTAAAACAATCTCCATCATCCCACATAAAGAAGCGTTTGTTTGTTGAGGATACAAAATCTAGTAGCGCAATACCGGTTTTAATACCAAGGTAAGACTCAGCTTTACCAGAAATCCTGTTGCCTACAACAAATGACGAAGATTCGATGTCAAAACCTGAACAACTCTATACCAATCAAGGCAGACCTTATGTCAGCAAGAAATAAAAAAAAAAAGACAGGCTTTCAAAGAAAGGGTTAAAGCTACGAGGAACAACCCTATATTAACGGGGGCAGGTCGACCTCTTCTTCCCAAAAAGAAAAGAACTCCTAAATACAAAATACTTAGTAAAGTGATTCCCAAAGGAGGAAATTGAAGGATTCATTGTAAGGGTTTATGAACTTATTTTATAAATTAAGGCTACGTTCATCTCTTTTGCATTAAGGAACAAGGCATTAGGGTTTTCTAAAATTTATTTTTTGCATCATGGCTCATGCCTCAAAAAATTTATTCTCAAAGCATGAAACTTTCGAGGTGCATGGTCCTCTGTTCTGGAGTTGAACTCCATACTTAACCCCATAACATCTTGAGAATAAACTTTTGAAACAGATGAGAAACCTAAGGGTTTCTGAACTTATTTTTATGAATTAAAATTATGTTCATCTATTTTGAATTAAGAAGCAAGGCATTAGGTTGTAAAATTTGCGTCATGACCCATATCTCAAAAAGAATTTATTCTCGAAGCATGAAGCTTTTGAGATGCATGGTCCTCCGTTCTGAAATTTGACCTCCATACTTGAACCCCCATGACACCTTGAGAATAAACTTTTGAAACAGAGAAGAGAAGCCTAAGGGTGTCTAAACTTATTTTATGAATTAAAACTATGTTCATCTATTTTGCATTAAGGAGCAAGGCCTGGATTTCTATAATTTATTTTCTGCATCATGGCCCATGCCTCAAAAAATTTATTCTCGAAGCACGAAGCTTTCGAGGTGCATGGTCCTCCGTTCTAGAGTTGAACTCCATACTTGAACCCCATGGCACCTTAAGAATAAACTTTTGAAACAGGAGAGAAGCCTAAGGTTTTCCGAACTTACTTTTATGAATTAAGGCTATGTTCATCTGTTTTGCATTAAGGAGCAAGGCCTTAGGGATTTCTAAAAGTAAAATTTATTTTCTACATCATGACTCGCCTCAAAAAAATTTATTCTCAAAACATGAAGCTTTCGAGGTGAATGATCCTCCGTTCTGGAATTTGGCCTCCATACTTTAACCCCATGGCATCTTGAGAATAAACTTTTGAAAAAAAAAACCTAAGGGTGTCTAAACTTATTTTATGAATTAAGGCTATGTTCATCTATTTTGCATTAAGGAGCAAGGCCTTAGGGCTTTCTAAAATTTATTCGTTGCATCATGGCCCATGCCTCAAAAAAACTTGACAGAAGGACTCATTGTAATTCCACGAGTTACAATTGAGAAACCTATACAGAATATCAACTAATTAATGTTAAGTCTCATTCAATAAGAAATAACAAAATTGTATTACCTCGTGGTAGTAAAATAGGAAACTAGTCAATAATTTATGTAGTGGATCGACAATAGAACCTACAAAATAAAATAAAATAAAATAAATATATCAGAATAAAAAAAGCCAAAGGGTCTTATTGTTAAAAAAATAAACATGAGGACCTTTAAAAATGAACAGAAAATTCAAAAAAAATACAAGATAGATTATGTAAATAGGAGTAAAGAACGAAAGAGATTTAAAAAAAGAGGCATGTGTGGAAAAAAATTGAAAAAAAAAAGTAACGCAGGAACGGATAAACACTATTCGAATGAATAGTGATGGGTAAAAATGATGAACAATGTTCGGATGAATAGTAACGGGTGTAAAAATGGATGAATAGTGCTCAAATGAATAGTGACGGGTAAAAACGGATGAACAGGGATTGGATGAACAGTAAGAACATACATAAACAATAATAGGATGAACATATGTTAACAGTAATCAATAGTAATGAAAAATTTTTTCGTCTTAAAAAAAGAGAATGAAAGAGGTCTACATGTAGTCTTCGTCAAACAATCTAACATAATATCAATTAAAAGAAATACACACACACATATATATAGCTATGTGAAGCTTAACTAGGATAGGATTAGATTTTCTTTTCAAATTCTGTTGAAATTCTATCTTCAAATTTGTTAATATCCCTTTTAAATTGGATTCTATCTCCAACTAATTTAGTAATTTTAATTAGATAATGACTCCTCATATTTGAATTAAATGAACTAATCCCAAGTCTTTTAAAACTTAAAAAAAATTCATAGCACAACAGCAACAAAAAAAAAACTTAGGCTCATGCACTCGGTTAAAAAAAACCGAGCACGTAAGCTAGGGGGTAGGATTAGATTTTCTTTTCAAATTATGTTGGGATTCTATCTTAAAATTTGTTAATATCCCTTTTAAATTGGATTCTATCTCCTACTAATTTAGTAATTTTAATTAGATAAGGACTCCTCATATTTGAATTAAATAAACTAATCCTAAGTCTTTAAAACTTAAAAAAAATTCATAGCACAACAGCAACAACAAAAAAAACTTAGGCTCGCACACTCGGTTAAAAAAACCGAGCACGTAAGCCAAGGGGGGGAATTTGTAGACGCACAAAAAAAATTATGTATCAACAAGCCCTATATATAAAACTTATTGTGAGGATGATAGTACCTCATAAAAGAACGACAGAAAAGATAGAAAAGGCGGAGAGATTGAAAAGAAGAGAGACTTAAGAGTTTGAAACAACGACAAGGTCCTCTGTATTTTTCATATTGAAAGGGAGGAGGGCTCCAGAACATTGTCTAGAGACCTATGATCCCATCTTCTAGAGACCTATGATCCCATCTTCTTTCTCTTCAATTTTGTAATACATTAGAAAGATAATAAGATCAATATCTTTCTGTATTTAATTTCTAATGTCTATTTAATTGGTTTCTATTAATCAGAGGTTTTTTTAATAAGAGTAATTAACAGAAAGAAATAAATTTCTGGACGCATGCACCTCACAAATTTTTTTTTTACAAACAAAGTGATTCTAATATGTATGTAAGGAGTAAATATTTAGGGATTGCTCTACTCTTCTTGAGATTGGTGATACGGCTTGGTCAAGAAGAGATTAGCCTACTCAAATATTATTACTTCTCTGATGGATAACAGCACCACTTTAAAAAAAATTTACAAAATATACACGTCGGGCATTCCGACGCTTACAAACACACAAATGGAGGTGAAGAGGCTCAAAGGCATCACCTTTCATAATCCACTAACACCGAGAACTAACTTTTAGCATATATAAAAGTCAATTAGGCAGACCCATCATGGAAATTTTCCCAAAAACTGTAACAGAAGATAGATCGAGACAACGCATCTAGACGCAAACATTCAGTAAAAATTCATCCAATCAACAACTACTTAACTAATCACAACTTTATCCAATTGACAACTACTTAACTAATCACAAACAAACTGAAAAAAAATATGGCTCATCAAATAATCAAGAAAAAAACCCAAAAGATGTTTTAGACACTAAGTGATCGAGCTGATGAGACTGAGATTTGGGTTGAAGGAAGTAGGCGCTCCAGCTGATTCAACAATACACTAAACTTCCTATTATTCTCGAAAGCAAGTGATATTAGACTCCCTACAAATACAAAAGAACAATCAACAAACACCGAGAACTAACTAAACCCATCATAAAAAATTTACCAAATAAGTGCAATAAAACATAAATGGAAGCAAAAGCATCTACCAACAAAAATTTCAGTGAAAAGTAGACATTACCAATCAATAACTACTCAACTAATCACAAACTACCAAACAAAATGATATGGGTCATCAAATAATCTAGAAACAAACACAAAACAAGTAAAATACTAACTGATCCAAGCTGATAAGATTGAGATTTGGGCTGGAGGAAATAGGAGCTCTAACTGATTCAATAATCCACTAAACTCCCAACTGCTCTAGAAAAACACAAGATACTAGACTCCAAACCTGTCATAGAAAAATACCCAACAATCGTAATAAAACATGTCCCACAAAAATTTGAGCAATAATTAAGCTTTAGCAACTAAAAAAAGAGATGGGTCATCAACGAATGAAGAGATAAACACGAAATAGGCTACCTGCAGCTAGATTGAAGCGGATTTGGATTGGAGGGAAACAGGAGCTCCGATTGATTCAAGGAATTGGGGGTTTTAATCAATCATAGATTGGAGACAAAAGAGGAAAGGGAATAAAATATTAGAGTGTAAAGACAAAGAGCGGAGTTGAAGAGGGGAGGAGAGAGAGACTCCAAAAGCTGGAGGACATGCTTGGGGAGCTGAGGTGCGCATACACAGTACATGAGTGGACTGTTGAGGAGAGCACAGGTGTCGCTGGAGGCAAGAGGGAGAGGAAAAGAATAAAATAATGCTCGTGTATTGGCTCCTTTTCGGCTTACTTTTACTTTCGTACTCCAAAGTTTATCCCTTTTTGCTATTTGATACCTTCAAAGTATTTGTTTACACTCTATATATATATATATATCATATATAGTAGTTTCTTTAAAAGCATGAGTTTTGGAAAAGCTTTTCATAGTCAATATTACTCTTCACAATTTTGAATATTTCTTTTAAATCTTAATGTATCCTAATCCTATTTATATCTTACACTAATTCAACGTGAACTACATATAGCTTAACAATTTAAAAAATAACATTAATAAAATACATGAAACACTATTTTGAATATTTCATTTAAATCTTAATCTATCCTAATATTAATCATATTCTATACTAATCTCACATGAACTACTTATAACTCAACAATTTAAAAAAAATAAGATTAAGAAATCATATGTAGTTAACATATTATAATATAATACATAAAGTATTACAACAAAACCCAAAAAATTTTAAAAATTACACAAAATACCATCAAAAAGTTTAATATTACATAAAACACCCTGACTTTTCAAAAGTTAAAATAACAAACATAAAATCTAAAAATTAAGAACAACCCCTAAAGAATCTAAATTTACAATTAGTATCATCTATCTTTCAAAAATTATAAAAACCACCATAAAAGTTCAAACTACAAAAAAAGCATCCTGAAATTCTAAAATTTCCCAACTTACAAATAACATAGATGGATTCAAGAGATTATCATGAGACACTTGAAAATTAATATTTATAAAAAATAACCTCAAACTTAGAAAAATTACAAAAACTTCCTCTAAATAATCAGAAAAAATCCTGAAATTTCAAAACTTATAACCTGAAACTTCAAAACTTATAATTGGCAAACTTCAAATTTGGAAATTATCAACAGACCACAAAAAATTTAAAGTTTGTAAAAAATAATCTAAAGTTTCAATAATTACAAAAAACACCCTCAAAATTTTAGAGTTACAAGAAATATCCTAACATTTAAAAACTTCCCACCAATACATGAAACATAAAAATTACAAGTACCCAACTTAAAATCTAAATTTTTTTAAAAATCGTATCAAATTTTTAAAAATTGCAAAACACACCCTCAAATGTTCAAAATCACAATAAAGGCTGAAATTTTTGAACTTGCCAAAGAAAAGAATAATTATTTGATATTCTTTTATTAAGATACTTTCAATTTGAAGTTTACTATCCCTTTTTAGTATCTAAAAGTAATCTAAGTTGACACCAGCAATAAATAGCAATAATAATAAATTAAAAACATCCAATTAAGGAATACAAATTTTAAAAAGATAAGATAGATTAAAAATTAACTTCACTATATAAATTAAATAAATTGCATACAATTGTATTAATAGTTGATAGAAGACTAAATTACATAAAACTGATAAAAGACTGTAATATAATAACTTAGTATTAATTAATTATAATGTAAAAGTATTGATCTCTTATGTCAATAGTATTTATAGGGTAAAAAGATACATGTAGTTATGCATGGAAAATATATCAAAAAGTTTAGAGATATCCTCCAAAAGAATCAAGTTGTTTTTATTTTAAATGGAGAAGTGAAATAAATAAACTAAAATTCAAAAACATTCATAAATCACTTAAATTTATATTGACAAAAGGCATATCTATTAAAAAAGCATTAATTAAGTTCCCTTAAATAATATATCGAACAATTTTCTCCCAGTCAAAAAAGTATTCTATATAGAACATATAAGAAAATTTAGTAGGTATTACAAATTTTCATATGTATTCTTCAAATACTAAAGGAATCATAAATTTAATATAAAATTACATACAAATAGTTTTGCAATAGAAACTAAAGTGAAGTCATTGATCAACTATGATTTAAGATATAACAAGCCAGATAAGAGGAGGAAAATCACTATAATGACAAAAGGTATACACATAATATTTATTTACAATAGCGTAAGTAAAAGAAATAGTATCAATCTTTTTTTTTTCTATACAGTGGCATAACTTTACATGTAACTTTATTTAGGGATATGACTACTGATGAAGGATCAATTCTTGAAGACATGATCAAAGAGAAGTATATAATAGCAATATCAGATTTTAAGATCTTTAAATATAAAGATAACATATTTTATTACTAAAATTCTTATTAAAAGCCACTAAACATAAAATTTACCTTATATTTGTCTTTTATAGAGGAGATATTCATGTCATCATAAATTTATGTTAATAATATATATCAACTCAAAGATACAACTTATTAAAAAAAATATAAGAATGGGAAGTAAACCAAGCAAATATCCATGTAATACAATAAATAAAAAATATTACATTTTAAAGCTAATAAGTTGGTGTTATTTAGAACAAGATATTAAGACAAAAGTATCTCCATCAAGACTCTTTACAAATGTAACACAAATTTAAAGTTCTAATATATGCAGTCGTCAGGATATTTGAAAGAGGTATGATCTCACAATGCCTGTTACAGCCTGCAAATAACTAAGTGTTAATCTTTCTTGGGGAGCCGACATGCATCCCGCTAACTTTAAATGTGTATGTTGAAGTTATTGAGAAATAAAGTGTAAAATGTTGGCCTCTTTGTTTTGACGATATTTAACAAACAATTTACCACTAATGTTGTTTGTCTAGTGTTTGTGTATTTCTATTTATTGTAGACAAACAACAAGTTGGAGGTTGGATGGATTGCGTCATAACGATCATATTAAATGGAGGTTAGCGGATATAGTGGTTGAAGCAATATAATTCAAGTTAAAGATTCAAGTTCAAGCTTCTTCCGTAAGTGTACCAAGTCAAGCTTATTGAAGATCAAGATTGCTTGGGTAACATTTAGTTTAGGTGTTATTTTGAGTTTTCAAGTTTTAATATGAAACAATTGAATACAAATGAAAATACATTTCTTATTTCATACTTATATGCATATATATGATTTCATCAATATTAACTTTATTTAGTTCAATGAAATCGTATTTATTGTTTTCGAAAAGTTTGCAAAATATGCAATTTTGTGAAAATATTGTATTCTTAGTTTTTGGCCTTAACAATAATCATATACATCTTTTATTAGGTCTGCAAAATTATTTTATAATGTTTCAAAACATGGTTAAGCTAAAATGTCAAAACTTATGTGTTTACATTTTCATGTTTTGGACTATTTTGAAAAATGATGATATTTCTCATTTGGGAGGTCCTTTTTAAAAACTAGTTTTTATAGCATGTGTATTATCATGTCTACAATCATTTCTCAAAGTTTCATAATTTTTGGAATTTATTTGATATTTTTAAACAGAGTTTTAAAATCAGAAAAACTGTTTCAAACCTGAAATTTCATGTATCAGTTTGCGGTCAACCGCCACGGTCGACCACCCTTGAGTCCAGAGACTCGGATTGGTTTTTGATGGCTCGTGGTCGATCGTGGCGGTCAACCGGATACAGTCCATATAGTTTCGCGGTCGACCGTCACGGTCGACCGGCTGATATCCAGAGCCGTATTTAGTTTCTGTTCCCACGGTCGACCGCTGATCGCCCAACGGTCATTTTTGTATAGAATTTGATTTCTGATTCTTTGGGCTTTTTGGTCTTTTGTTTGGGGATTTGGCTGTTGTTTTATCTTCCTATATAAAGCCACAAACCCCCCCACTACCAGAAAAACAATGAGAGTGTTTTAAACAAGTTTAAGAAAGTTTTAAACAAGGGTTTATGTTTTATTTAAGTTTGTTTAAGAAGTTTTTAAGCATTTGAGAGTTTGAGTTTGTGAAATCAATTTCACAAGAGCTTAAGTTTGTTTAAGAAGTTTTTAAGCATTTGAGAGTTTGAGTTTGTGAAATCAATTTCACAAGAGCTTGATGAGATCGTCTATTGGTGTTTGAGCATCCAACTATACTCCCTCGATCTCTTGATCTATTGAGAAGTTTTCTAAACTCTATTTCTAGCTCTTTTATATATATTTTGATTATCATTGTTATTAAGATAGAATTATATTGAGTTTAGTTTTGATTTATTTCTCTTTGCTTACACACACACAACCATTGAGCTTATTGTATTTACATTCATAGTATAATTGGGTTGTGGGATTGTGTAACCTAGAGAGTGAGCTTATACTTCGTTCTCATCCATTGTAGAGAACAAACACTTTGTATTGTGCTTTATTGTGAGATTCACTTTGTATTACACTAGTACATCAAGAGGAGTGTGTGGTGAGAGTCGAGGTTACTTCCAAGAAGAGTTGCGTCGGTTGACGAACCTAGGGAGAGGTTGTATCCGAGCACTTGAGGAAGGACACAGAGAGACCAACACTTAGAGGGTGTGGAGTGTAGTTACATTATGGTATTGTATGGTGTAAACGTTATTAAGGTGATCGTAAAAAACCCGGTTGTGATAGTGGATTTCTCCCCGGGAGTAGGGAGCGAAGACGCAGGACGGAAGGGCCGAACTCCGTGATCATATCATTTGTTTGTGATTGCATTGGCGTACCTTTCTTATGCTCATATCTTATATCATCTTTGTATATTGCTTGTTGTTTATATTGTCCACTGTCTAGTTTAGATTGTTTACCTTTGTGTTTATTGTATATCCTCGCATATATCTCATAGTATATTTCACCATATAGGATATATCTCTTGTTCATATTGTATATTCTTGCTCATAACATATTGTATATATCTCTTGCAAGAATAATTTGTTAATTAGTTTTATTTGGCATAAAATCGGATTAGATTAGCATAAAACCCTAATCACCCCCTCTAGGGTCTAACAAGGCCGACAACTTACATGGCTAACTTGAAAGGTGGTACTTGCCGACCTACCTATTAGATCGAGCCGACAAGCCTCCACACTCTGCCCACTATCTTAGCCAATAACTCTTGAGATTGACTATAAGGGCGGTACTTATCGTCTCACTCGTAGAGCCGAGTCAAGAGGCGATGCGTCTTCAAACTCCCCCCCCCCCCCC